CGCTAATACTTTTACTCCTTCAGGGCCAAGCTGATTGCCTTGTATATTTAAAGAAGTCAGAGTAGTATTTTTGTAAAAACATCGGCTAATTCCTTGCTCCCTTTAAAGTCTCCTTTAAAGTCAAGATGACTATTTATAAAATCTAAGCAAGTTAATATAGTATTTCATAGAGTGCCAACATCAACAGTTTGACATTTTTAGAACTACAGTTATTATTGACGACCTTTAAACTAGTTAAAGTAGAGTTCTTGCAAAGAGCTTTCGCCAATGTATTTAAATCTTCAGGAAAAAGATCAACTTTAACAGATAAAGTTTTCAAAGTTGTGCATTTATAAAGATTTTCCGATAATGAATTCATTATAACTTTACGTGTATCTTCATAAACTTCTGGTAGATAACCATGTAAATTAACAATGTTACGCCATCCACCTTCAAATTCAGCAGATTTAATTTTATCGCCAGTTTGTAAAAAACATTGTGATCAACGAACGCTTAATTGTTTGAGTTATATCCATTTTATCTATTCCTGAACAATATCTTTCACGTTCATCAAGAAGATTTATAATTCCATTAATTGAGATATTTACGCAGAAATGCAAGTATAAAATATGTTTTGTATACTCAAATAATGGCTTTAACCATTTGGGAGAATTATTTTGAATGGTATTAAAAGTGCTTGTTCTTCAGTATTTAGCAGCAACAAACATGTTCTTATAAATTTTTTATTTCTATATAGTGCTTCACAATAACGGTACGACATATCTACACCATTGACAGTTTACAAGAAGGCATGAAAATAAGCATTTATGACTAAGGTGCTCGAATATTACCAAAATACATTTGCTAGGTAGTGTTATTATTTTGTGTACGTTAAAAAAAATTTTTTTTATTTGAGTGTTGTTATTTTTGAGTACCCAAAAGGGAAATTTGCAGCATTTTTCAATCGATTAATCGATCAGTTGATCAAGTTTGCAACTAATTAATCAATTGATTAATGCAAACCAAACTTGAATAACGTATGTACGTACGAACATACATATGTATGATTCCAAACCCAATACAAAACCAGATCGGGTACTCCCTTACTTATTGCATATTTAAACCTCATCAACTAATCAACGATTAAATAACCCTTTTTAATTTACATATAAGCGTACAACAAGTTCTATGCCTGTCGATGCGCTGGGAGTTTTTTTTTTTCGATCCAGGTTTACTCTGTTAAGAGACTCCTCATTACGTTGAAAACAAAATTCTTTAGGCTAATTAGTAGAATTATATACCCAGAGCCCATTGTATGATGTTTATCATATAACACAAACATGTTAGTATGCATATGTTGGTAATATTAAACACAAATATAGACAAGCGTGCTGACAGACAAAAATTTCTAAATTCTATTTCTGATAATATTTACATTATATATATGCAAGTATATCAAAAAAAGTAAATTTTGTCAAGATTTTTATAATTTAAGCGCATCAGAAAGTTAATATTTGTATCATTTGTCGTAATATGTACTTAAGGTCATCTGCTACGCTCCAGACAATAATGTGTAGTTAAGTTTGGGTAGTTTGCTATTTTTTTATGCAAATAATTCTTTTACAGAACTTACTTGCTACTTTGGTGACTACAATTTGTGGTTGGTTTGCATTGGAATTTTCATATTCTATTATGTGTCATGTACTATAAATAATTTTATTACAGAAGTTATTTCCTAATTTAGTATTAAAGTGAGTGAGTTAGTCTTTACAATAAAATTGTCGAAATTTCATTCATGAATTACTTAAAAAATTTTGTTATAGAACTTACTTGCTATGTTGATGAGCACAAATAATGTTGAGTTACTAAAAGAGATATTACGAGACTTACTTTCTATTCTAATTAAGACAAGTTATATTGGAATTATCGTGTTTTCTATTACGAATTAATATCAACAGTGTTCTGTTACAGAACTTATTCACTATTTCTAGTGAACATAATAATATATAGTTAAGTTTAAGTTAGTTTGCATTAAATTGTCATGATTCCTATTGTGAATTATTGTAAATAATTCAGTGACTATTAATATGTGATGAAAATTATTTTATGCTAGAATTGTCATGATTTCTATCATAAGTTACTGTAAATAATTTGTTACAAACTTACTATTCTAGTAATAATAATATATGGTTAAAATATATTAGTTTGCACTGAAATTGTTGTGATTTCTATCATCATTAGTTACTATATCCTTCCTGAATAAGTGCCCAACTTTTGCAATTTTTATATTCAAAATTTAACTATGCAGATTCGAACACTAGATTATGAGAAATTTGGATATGAAAATGGTACTTAATAGTTTTATCACTAAATTTACTTGCTATTTTTTGCATTGGGATTGTTGTAATTAATGTAAATAATTCTGTTACAGAAAAATACTCATTCCATTAACTCCAGTAAGTGTTTAATGCATTTATTGTTATTTGCAAAATGATTTATTTTTGATTAAATTTGTAGACCTATACAATTACTGGATTTTATCTAATTGCACAATTGTACAAACTATTTTTTTGTATGACAAAGATTATAAAGGTTACATATTAATATTAAATTTGTAGCAAGAAAATCACTTTACAATAACACAATTAGATTGATAAAAATAATTAATTTTGCAAATTGCAATAAATTAATATGGTTTATTCATGAGCTACTAAAAAATTATGTTATAGAGTTTATTTGCTATTCTAAATAAGATGAGTTAAATTGCATTAGAATTATCATAATTCTATAGCATACTACTGCAAACAAAAGTTTGTTACGGGTGATCATAATATGCAATTGATTTTACAATTATAAATAATTCTTTTTCTAATACCACATTATGTGGTTAAGATAGGTTTTATATTAGAATTGTCATGATTTCCATTGTGAATTACTGTAAATAATTTAGTTACAAACTTACTTGCTATTCCATTGAATATAATATGTAATTAAGGCCGTTCTCAAGCATCTAAATCAATTGATTAAAGAATAATCATGAGGATGCTCAAGCATCACAATAAATAGAATATTTATAGAATTAAATGCTTGAGCATACTCTTTTTCAATTTTCTTGATCTTTGTTATGCTATCTAAAACGTTTAAAAAAATTCAATAAAAAAATTCTATTTAACTGACTGCCGAATCTTCTGCTTCAGTTACGTTGGCTTTTCTCTTTATGATTTTACCAATATTGACTTTTTGTTGCAATAGCAACAACTTATAAAACATTAACAAAAGTTGTTTTGCAGTAACATGAAGTAAAAAAAAATTTTTTAAGTTTATATAAGTGAAAAATAAAATAGTAGTATTTATTATGGTTTGGTTAAATGTTAAAAGATGGATAGAACATTCATATCAAGATGTTGATTATTTGTTTTAAAAGCTTTAAGCATTAAAAATAAAGTGGTTATTTTTTTAAACTGGTTTGAAGTTTATTGTGAAATTTGTTGTGAATTTATTGTTTATTATATTTGATATATTAAAATGTAAAAGTAGTGCCTGAGTAATCTTTATCAATAGTAAATTTTTGAAGAAAAAAGGTGGCTTGTATCTCGTTGATTTGTTGATAGAATTGGTAACTCACTTGATTGATTTATTTAATTTCTAACTAATTAAAAATTTATGTCTGATCCATTGAATGAGGTGCTTGAGAACGGCCTAAGGTGAGTGAGTTGATCAGTATTAGAGTTGGCTTCAAAACCCTTTGTGCAAAAATTTGAAAGTTTCAGGTTTCAGATTATAGCTTCCAAAACTTTATTCAAAACCCCAAAACTTTATCCGAAACCTGAAACCTTTTCCAAAACCTGAAGTTACAAAACATTAATTTTCATATAGTAATTAAATTTTGAGACAACAAAAAACTTCTGATAGCCAAATTTAGAAACTTATCAAATTCAGTTATCAGAAATTTTTTATTGTTCTAGAACTTATAAGAATAGCTATAAAATTATTTTATATAAAATTTTTATTTTTATATAAAAAATAATTTATAAAAATTTTTTAAATTAATTTATTTATAGCTATAGTCTACATGTAGCTATACTATCAAAATATAGTTTTT